GGACTAAGATTCCTAAAGGATCGACTCCCGTACCTGGCCATCTTGCAGTAAGCGAGCGCAATGGAACAATGGTTAAAGCAGCGGTAAAAGAATTAATTGCAGCTTACTCTGATTCTGTCGAAACCATTCTAGCACCAGCTTCATGTTCCAATAATCCAGTGCTCATGGATAGATGGTCCCTCCAAAGACGTCAGGACTGCAATTCAAGCAAGGCGCCCTTTAACAACTAGTTTTTAGGTTCTGTTTGGAAGTTTAACAACTCATAGGATGTTCGATAGAAACAACACAACTCTCAGTCATATGTGGTATCTCAACACTTCTCATCTATGTGTCTTCCATTGTGGTCATGCGCCTGGACGGTATAGGCCGATATTACGTGCTAGCTATACACCATACTACCTTGCATTCTCTCCATTCCAGAAACCAATCTTGAGACCTGCTCGCCCATCCCTAATGCCATGCTCAATGTTTCCTGCGCAAGGTCAGTGCAGGTGCCCGTCGGCCGTCCTCCTTACTAGTGTGCCACCTTGACGATGTTCGAGGTAGGTTGAGCTACAGAGGTACCTAAAGTGACGTCTCTGTCGCCACCTAGTCTTGATATAACAGGCAATGTGGATGAGCGATGTCGTGCGCTGTCTGCAAGCGCATGGTGGTTGAGTTGTCGTCTTGTGCAGAATGACCCCGTCTGCAACATTCTTGGCTTCCAAGCGCCAGCCTTGCGAAGCTGAATCATCATTACCAGGGCAGCTGTAATGAAAACGCAGCTCCGCAACACACCTCCGACAATCCGTTTAGCACGCATGCCACGAGCATGTTGACGAATATCCCATGGTTCTACCCCGTCTAAGCCCAACAGAATATTCGGTGGGATGGGTATGTGCCTTGCCCATCGAACTTGCAGCTGCGCAGGCGATGCTAGATGAGAAGCATGCCGAGCAGCCGCCCGATAACCATGACCCAAACCTCTACACGCTCGGTCGCATTGGTAACCACAACGTCGTCCTGATATGCCTACCCGCGGGCCAAGTAGGTATCGGTCCTGCTGCTGCAGGTGCAACACGAATGTTATCTAAGTTCAGATCAATTCGCTTTGGGCTGATGGTTGGTGTTGGCGGTGGGGTTCCCAGTGCAGAGGTAGATATACGGCTAGGGGATGTTGCTATTAGTCAACCACACAACCAACACGGTGGAGTTGTGCAATATGACTATGGAAAAACAGGGAAAGACGGCCATATGACAAGAACAGGATCTCTAAGTCCACCGCCTAAAGCATTGCTAAGCGTGGTGTCGCAACTGCGAGCCAATCGACACCTAGGAATAAGCAGTTTAGCAGCACACCTGACGGTTTTTGATCAACTACAGGACTTCAGTCGGCAAACAGCACGCGCAGATGTGTTGTTCGAAGCAACCTACAATCATAGCGGGGATCCATCCTGCGAGCGGTGCAGTAGGGAAAGGATAGTGCAACGGAAGGCCCGAAAGCATGAAGAGGAGGTCATGGTTCACTATGGTACGATTGCATCTGGCAGCCAAGTGATGAAAGACGGGGTCACTAGAGACCGACTGAGTGCGGAGCTAGGCGGGGTGCTGTGCTTCGAGATGGAAGCGGCTGGCCTGATGAACGATTTCCCGTGCTTGGTGGTTCGGGGCATTTGCGACTACGCAGACTCGCATAAGAACAAGGTATGGCAGCCATACGCGGCAGCAACGGCAGCGGCGTGCGCAAAGGAGATTATGTCCCTGATTCCAGCAGCCGAGGTGGCAGTAATGGAAGCGGTAGGAGAAACCCTCCAGCCTCAAGTACCGCTCAGTCTGCAAGGCGTACCAGTGGTGAGCCGGTTTGTACATCGAGATGCCGAATTGAAAGAGCTTGAACGACTCCTTCCCATATCTTCACTCGTCGCGAGTCGTCGAAACGTTGTGGTTGTCCACGGCCTTGGTGGCATAGGGAAGACGCAGTTAGCGGTCGAGTTCGCGCGGAGGCACCAAAGCAGATATAGCGGCGTGTTCTGGCTAGACGGGTCGACAGAAACTAGTGTAAAGCAGTCATTCACAGATATGATGCGGAGGCTGCCGCGGAGAGAACTGGCGGCAGATGGTGTGGAGATGCTCAAGCATTCTACTCTCGATGTCAATGTAGCGGTACGCGAATGTCTCCAGTGGCTATCCCTCCCATCCAACCATGGCTGGCTCTTGATCTTCGACAATGTTGACCGCGACTTCTACGACAAAAACGACTCGCAAGCATACAATGTAAAAAGCTACTTCCCTTATGCAGACCACGGATCGATTCTCATCACCAGCCGGCTGGCAAGCCTTCAGAAGCACGGGTCGGGAGTCAAAGTAGGGACCGTTGCGACAGAGCAAGCAAGAGCTATTCTTGAGATGAATGCTGGGCGGGAAGCCAAGGGTAAACAACATCGATATTTAGTCGTAATTGTCAAAATTGCTAACAGATATTGATCAGATGCTACCGTTCTTCTTGAGCGTCTCAATGGCCTCCCGCTGGCCCTCACCCAAGCTGGCTCGTATATACGAGAAACGAACCTATCTGCAACAGCGTATGCTGGATATTACGATGAAATGTGGGAGGATCTAATGAAGAAACAGGGACGCTTTCCCTTAGAGGAGTATAAGGATCGAAATGTGTTGACAACATGGATTATGTCCTATGAGCAGGTTCAGAGGCAGAGCGAAGAGGCTGCTGGTCTGCTTAAGCTATGGGGTTTCTTGGACTGCGGAGAACTCTGGTATGGACTAGTAGCAGCCATCTTAAAATTACGAGAAAAAGTCGAGATTCCAGCATGGTTGCTCAAGATTGCTGAGAGTGAACTAGAGTTTGTCGATGCAGTTGGCCTTTTATCCCGCTATTCGCTTATTGAAGCAACGGAAGGCAGTGATAGCTACTCAATGCACGCAGTACTACACAAGTGGTGCAGCCAGCTAGTGCAAGGCGAGGAGAAGGATGGCATTTGCAGCGTTGCCGCAGGAATAGTTGCCTGGAACGTACCCTCAGAAAACGAAGTAGAGTTCTGGACGAAACAGAAGCGAATAATAGCGCACGGAGTGAGTGTTAGCAGGCAGATGAGGGAATACTCTATGTCTCCAGAAGGAAGGGCAACTGGGGCTTCAATACAGCCCTGGGTGTTCTACAACTTAGGATTCTTGCTCTCAGGAGAAGACAGGCGAGAGGCAGAGAAGATGTACCTGCGAGCACTGCAAGGTTACGAGAAAGCATGGGGACCAGAGCATACATCAACACTTATGACAGTCAACAACTTAGGTGTCTTCTACGCGAGCATAGGAAAGCTAGACAAGGCTGAAGAAATGTACCAGCGCGCATTGCAAGGAAAGGAGCAGACACAGGGACTAGAGCATACATCAACACTTAACACAGTCAACAGCTTAGGCATCCTCTACGCAGACCTAGGAAAGCTAGACGAGGCTGAAAAAATGTACCAGCGCGCATTGCAAGGATACGAGAGGGCGTTAGGACTAGAGCATAGGTCAACACTTAACACAGTCAACAACTTAGGCATCCTCTACGCAAAGCTAGGGAAGCTGGACAGGGCTGAAGAAATGTACCAGCGCGCATTGCAAAAAAAAGAGAAGGTATTAGGACTTAATCATACATCAACACTTAACACAGTCAACAACCTAGGCAGCCTCTATGCGAACCTAGGAAAGCTAGACAAGGCTAAAGAAATGTACCAACGCGCATTGCAAGGAAAAGAGAAGATATTAGGACTCGAGCATACATCAACACTCAGCACAGTCAACAACTTAGGCGACCTTTACGCGAAGCTAGGCAGGCTGGACAAGGCTGAAGAAATGTACCAACGCGCATTCCGAGGATATGAAAAAGCGCTACCTCTAGATTATATCTCCACATATGTCCCAGCACTAGACAATGTGCGGGCTATGGCCTCTCTCTCTGGTCGTAAAGGCCATCTCGAGGATGCTAGAGTCCAGTACTCCAAGGCCCTCTTAGGGTTTGAGAAGGTGCTAGGAAAAGACCATCGTACCTGCCAGACTCTCCGCGAAAAAATTACGGCCTTGGGCGGAGAGAGCAACGAAATCAGCGCTACCAGCGTAAAAGTGATAATGGATGAACATGCTCATGTAGAAACCATTGCTGCAACATCTACAAAGCCAGAAAAGCCAGCATCGGAACAACAACATGTGCTACAAAAGCTAGGCAAAAAGCGAAAGCTAGTGTAGAATCGATCAGGTGCTATGGTTGCTATTTTTGCTTAAGATAGCGTTCCATCTACAACTAGAACTAGTGGCATGCATGGGCATGTACCGATACAGCTAGAAAGGTCGTATCTGTAGTTTTAAATGAGGATAGTAAAAGATGTTACGAATGGTTTGCTGAAAGTGTTGCTTGAGCATTATGCTGAATGGGTGCCTACCAAATACATTGCGCAAGTGGCAAAATGGGGGCGATGTTAACAAAGTCACTTGAGGTACCTCTGCTACTTAAACGGGCTCTTGACATAATCAAGGTAGCATACCAGTAGCGAGGACGGTCGACATGCATCTACCCTGACCTTGTGTAGGCAAAGCCAACGAGGAGGCTTCGCCCGCCCTACTCATATATGTCTCTCATTAGCCGACACCAGGACGTATATCCATCTATCTGTATTGTGGTTGATAAGCGGAAAAACCATCAGAAGAGAGAGGCGGTGGTGAATCAGGGGAGGTGTGATGGAGCGTTTGGACATGGTGAGAATGTAGATAGCTACAGCCATCAAGTTGCCGGATGAAATCCCCCACCATTACATCTTTCCATATCTCTGCCATCGCGCCTATCCTCTCAAGCAACAGCAAATAACCCCAGTCCAAAACCTCCAAAAATACAAATCTCCCATAACAATCCTCTCCCCCACATGCTTAAGAAAATTCAAAAATCCGACTATATGCAACCTCCAACATATCCAGTCAACCCCTGTTCTGGTTCTTGCTACCAGCACACAAAAATGCAGCAAAAAAGTAAATGGTCAATACGGGGGTCGAACCCGCGACCTTGGCGTTGTCATATCAGAAGATATTAGCACCACGCTCTAACCAACTGAGCTAATCGACCGGTTTGTGTTGTTATTGATGAAGAAAGAAGCACTAAGAGAACTTATCTTTCCGTATGTTTGGTGGCCGTTACTCGCCGTCGGGACTCATTTGTCGGACTTCTTGGCGATGAAGTGCTGTGAAAGGTTTTCGCGAAAAGTTGGGCCTGGTTTTGTCTGTGGGGTTGGTTGGTTGGGTGGGAACTACAGTTTGTCAGCCGGGGTTTTTCCCGATTGGTATTGGTGCGGGCTGCAGGTGCGAGGAAGGATTCCGACATAATGATTGTTATGAGCTTAGGATAGGAGCGCGGTATCTTGAAATGGGGGGTTTGTTGTACTTCTTGTGTTAGTTGAACCCCGACGAAGAAGAGTGCAGTGATGTGATGTGGTGTGGAGTGGTGCGCGGGCTGCGTGGAATGAAGGTATGTTTTGAGTGCGATATTTTGACGCGAGAGCGATGTCAAGCGGAGATAAGGTAGAGATGTTCGATTATGGTATCGGGATCGAATGCAATAGATTGGAGTGCGTGTGTGGTGTTCTGTCGTTGTGCTGGTCGGTCGTGGAATGTGCTGCTGTTTTGGGAGTGGATGCTTAGGTTGTTTGAGTCGCGTTCCCGATCAGGTTAGTATGAATTGTGGTCATGGGTCGTTACCAGGCATAGTTTTGAAAGAAGTAGGTATATGATTGGTCGATTGGATGAGTCTAGATTTAGATCACACTTGAATGCAACCTTCATAATCCGTTCTTCTAGAAGAAGTCAGCTCTTGAGTTTGATATGACTGGGACTTGTTATTCTCATGCTTGGATTTCCGGATGCTATTTTCACAGACGCATGTTATCGATCTTGGCCAGAAAATATATCTTAGAACTCCGCAGTTATGTCTCTCAAACCGTAAAGGTCGAATTTGAGCAAATGGCTGCCCCATTTGCGATTATCCTTTCTCTTTTTTGGAGTGTTAGAAAGTTTAGCAAGGGGAAGCCAACAATCTAACCCTGGTTTTATTTTCTGGCGAAGAGGGAAATGGCTCATAACGGGAACTCTCAACTTTTCTAGCTATTGCTGCCCTGGCCATTCGATTATATCATACTCACTCAAGATACTTCACATCTTCGGTAAAGCAAGACTTCCAGGTGGTTGTGTTTATACATTTTGGTAAGAGCTTGAGGCTATCTGTTCTCTAAACACTGGACCTTCTCCTCCTGCACATTCTACGCAGGCAGTTTCACGCCCAAACATCCCTCAGCCGCCCTACGTCCATCGTCACCCAGCTTATCCCCCTTGCTCGAACTAACTCCACACCTCTGCATAGGCTGATAGCTCTTCACGTGTGGCTCCAACACCTCAGGCCAAGTAGATTCTGCCTGTGGTCCTGTCCCCGGTTCGATGCTGAAGAAATAATCCCCCCACAACGGACCAGCAGACCAGTATGTCCAGCCGATGAATTGATCGTGATCTTCTAGCCAGTTTAGAGTGTTGTTCAATGTCTCGAAGCACGTAGGAGTGGAACCAGCGCCAAACTCGCTAAGGAAGGCCGTGAAATTATTCTCCTTTAGCCAATCCGTGACGGGGACGATATTTTGGGGCGCGTCGGCTGTGCATTCGTCGTGAGTGCCAGAGGTATCGTTATCGAAGTATAGGTGCATGTCGAAAGCAAAGTTGTTTCCAGGATCGCGAATCGCGGTGAAGATTTCCGAGTTGGGCAGACAGTCATCATCGCAAGTTTCATTGACCCAGCGTTGGGCACCAGCAAATCCATTACCGGGGACAAGTATAAGTTGGGTTGCACCGGCGGAGCGAATTGCGTTGATCGCGGCTTGGTCGTTGGTGAGGACGAGGGTTGTAGGCATGGAATGAGGTTCGTTCATGATACCGAAGATGACATTAGGATTTGATATGAAGCGGGTTGCCAACTCAGCCCAGAATGCGGCAAATTGTTCAGTCGTTGCCGCTGTGGGGTCAGTGTGGTCACCGATGACTGAACCGGATTGGGGTTGAGAAGAGGGGTCATTGTAGCCTTGGAGTTGTATTAGCGGGGGGAAGTGACAAGTTGGAAGGAGAACTGACGCCCATAATTGTGAACATCGAGGACTGCATATGCGCCACGCATTGTGATGTAGTTTATTGCGGCTTGAAATTCTTCAAAGTACGTTTCGTTGAAGGAATTTCCGAGCCCGGTCACAATAGGACACATTCGTTCCTTCAAATTCAGTAAGCATTTCTGGGCTCTCTTAATTTAAGATCTCTCAAATGCACTCACTAGAAGAAAGGGTATCCGAATAGTATTAACGCCCGCATCCAGGAAAAAATCAATCGAGGTCTCGTTAATAAATTGATAGTCGACACCGAACGCCCCAGGCAAGATCGTTTGTCCGAATTCACCGCCCGCTGTAAGTGAGGATCGCTGTTAGTGGATATGATTGTCACCAAGAAGGACCGAATGTGTACATACCAGAGTTAACGCCCGCATAGGCAATATCCGCCACCACATCCTGCGCCCCCCAAAGCGCCGCGAGACACCAGCTCGCAAAGCGCAAAAACCGCATCGTCAAGACGCACAAAGAAAGTAAATTAAAGATGATAATGAAAGTGATCTAAGCAGAACGAATGACGGTCAACATCTTTTCGCTGCGAGGATGCCGAAACCTCCTACAGCAGTGAACCAGGGCGGGCGGCGGTGGCGCTATGTATTTTTCATCCACCAAACACGACAAGCACAACTCCCGAGACTAAAAGCTCGGAAGCCATGCGTCGCTTCGGTATCCGGCAAATGCATATCGAAAGTCAGCGACTCCTCACACACAAAAGGCCATTATGCAGAGCATGCGAACCAGAACTGGAAGTCTTAGAACTTGATCAGGCAAGATGGGCTGGGGGTCATTGGTGGGGGAGTGCATGAGGTTAGCCGTATGAGACAGAAGAGGCTCCTTGTAGGACTTGGTTTTGCCGCGAAGAAAACTCGGGAATTATTTCAGCCTGAGGATATGGAGCGAGTTTAGTGGCTTGGGATGAGTTGCATTGACGCAGGTGCTGTGGCATGACTGATCCTGAAACACTGCGGGAACGGATACTGTTGTTGGGACGAGGGCATGAAGGAACGAGAGGTACGTCACCCAAAGCTCGGAGGAGAATGCGATAACACATGATTCCATATATTATACCTAAGCACGGTGAACTGGAGCAGAACTGAATGGTTGCGTTGCATTCTCCACAATTGTTGTCAATTAGTGTCCCAATGCAGTTAGCTCGCATCTCTACTCCAATTCTTCCTCGCCCTACCCAGGGATTCCAGCTAAACGAATTGACAAGGTAGCACTGGGCAGAACTACAACGCTTGCTACCAAGTCAGATGCTGATGTAATCGGTGTAGAACAGGGGCTTGTGCGTTGAGTAGCGGTGCTCAATATTATTACTGACCAGGTCTCCAAATATTACTATCCGGCCGACTTTTCTTTCGCTGCACCTAAACAATCACCATGACCACCTTTTTGGGCATAGATTTAGCCAAATTCTCGTCTTTGGCTCTACCAGTTTTATCCCAAGGCTTGTGGCCATGCGAACGGTAAATTGTTTACTCCGAGCCTGACAGCAGAGTAAGGCAATAAAAACTTCCCCCTGAGACTCTTCATCCACTATCCTCAGCTTCTAGTCTTCGCGGGGCTGTAAAGCTTCTTTATACAGAATCAAACATGACTTAGAATGTCAATACTTCTCCTTCCTCAGCAGCGATTTCCGGGTACAGATCAACATCGACCACCCCTTCGTAAATCTACGAAGAATTTGACACTCGAGAGAACGATCTGCTGTGACAACGGTCACCCCAAAATGAGAGATGTAAAGTCCATTGAGAAATCCAGTAATGTTAGCAACGTGCTGAGTCCAACTTCGGATACGCTTTCCTCAACTTTGCGGACATCCAGACCTTATTGCCAAGATTCAGAATGTCACCGGTCCCCCAACTCACGATCTCGGCCGGTCATGCTACCCTGACGCATATTTACACGACCTCAAATGCGGACATCGCGTACAAACCGAGTTTCCCAAAGGTTGTGGCTACAAGAGCTGCACTGCGCGAAAACCACCCTTTGGGGGCGAGTCGACCAGGAAGTCGACAACCGAAGAGACCAAATCATCGGATCTGTAAAATTGTGGAAGATTACTTATTTCTAAGTTTATCTGCCTTGTTTGAATCAAGGAATCGGTCGCAGTATATGTGGGCCGTGAAGGATTGCGCTCGGCTGAGATGAGCGAAGAACGAATTGATCAGCAAGTCGAGGAACTCAAGAAGTCGAATCATCGGGGTTCCCAAGGTATTGTCAGTATCTACAAGGCGACGGAATACCATCGTGAAATTCAGTTCATCATGAATTTAAACAAGGCAACAGACTTCGAGTTTGTTCAAGGAAACACAAATCCTTCTGGAAATAGTAACAATATCAGAGAGATTATCGACAGCTCCTAAGGCAGCCCAAGAGCGTTCGATGGAAGAAAACTCCAACTTTCCGGGAAGGATCAAGAGCCCGATAGCACCGAATTCTGTTGGTAGTCGGTCTTTTGTCAATCTTCGATTATCTCAAGAGACTCGAAGAGTAATCCATATTCTCTAGACCTTATCAACTTACAAAGGAGCTTGTTTCCATGGATTGCTAGATTTGAATTACTAGCGCATGACATCTAGCACTTCCGTAAATAAACTCCTTCGTAGGAAAGACTTCACCCCCCAGGATACAGCTTGGTGGAAGTCATGTCGATATTCCTCCTCGTCCACCCCCTTTGTTCAGCCGACCTGATGAACAAGCCCATTAAATACGACATATATATTATGCGCACCGACCGAGACGGAAGTCGAGAGAAGAGAGAAGGAGGAGACCAAGTGGAAATGGAATGGAGATGGATCAAACCAGGGTCTTATAAACCTCGGCAGGGACCTGGTGGGGCAGTCTGCCACTCCCATGTGAGCACCGACACGTTCACGTGATCGACCATGTCAGACCGACTGACCATCTTGTAGCGCGTTGCCGAAAG